TTTTCTGTATCTCAAATTCGCTGAATTTGTTTTCAAGTCTTACTATCCTTTCAATTAATCTTTTGATTAGGCTAAATATCACTAGCTCTCTCAGTTTCTTATATTACGTCATTTTAATAATAACTATTTCATAAATACATAATCGTATTTACTTACACTATATAAAATAATAAAAATAATAGAAATATACTTACAATTATATATCTGATTTTTAAGAAGGTTCTAAAATACATTGTTTTGCCAAATATAATAGTATACTTTAAAGGACCCTTATTTATTAGTTTTTTTTCATTATAAAAAAAATCGGCGATAGCTTCCTTGGTATAAAAATGCAGATGGCTATATCTAAAAAATAATTTAGGTATTAAAACTTATATATAATAATATATAGAAATGCTCATAGCAAAAGGGGGATGGGACTATATATTATATAGTCTCATTCCCTCTTTTGCTAAGAGTGTCTCCATATACAAATTTATAAAGTGTTGATTTATGTATCATTATTGTTCTTTTTGATATAGGAAAATACTTGGGACAAATTGTGGCAGAGCCATTCTTCTAGTTTTTCTACACCAACAAGCTTGTTTAAAGAAATTAAAATGGTTCTCTTGGGGTCACTGCAATATTCACGCACTTTTCAGGTCTTTATTATATACAAAAGGAAAAAAAATTTAAAATATCTACTTTATAAAAAAAATTAACTAACTTTTTTTCTAAAGTTAGATTATTAAACAGATTTTAATTTTTTATAAAAATGGATAGCACTCTATAAAAAAGGGTTCTGCAAGAAAAAAAAGCATTCTATAAGGAGAGGGTTCCACAAGCACTCTGTAAAGAAAAGGGTTCGCAAAGAAAAAAAGCACTTTATGAGAAGAAGGCTCTGCAAGAAAAGATATTTCAAGAGGAGAAAAATATTCAAGGCACTCAAATGGAAGAAAAAATACTTCAACGATATAAAGTAGGAAAATTTACAAAAAAGAATCACCTATCTAAAGCCATTTTGCGTGGTATTTTTGCTAGATACCTGATGTTTTTGCTTGGTGTGATATTCTTGTCTGGTATGGTGTTCTTTCCTGGTGTAGTGTTTTTGCTTGATGCAGTATTCTTGCTTGGTGCGGTGTTCTTGCAGTGTTCTTGCTTAGTGTTTTCGATAAATTTATACTGCTTCAATTTTTGTTTATATAAACAAACACGATATTAATAAAAAAAAAAAAATTTATTGATTGACCAATCAGGATAAAGAGATGTATAACATAACTTAACGTAGCAAAAAAAAAGAAAAACTAATATTGTTACATATAGCAAACAAAATTTTAATAACTTACCATTAGAATTACCCATCTATAACACTTTTCATATGTTGGGAACTATTCTTTCCTTTGATCAATATGTAGCAACGTAGTGATAAAAATAAGCATAAATATTGTTATCCAAGTTTGGAAACTAACTTGAAAGATTTTTGTGATTTAGATATATTTATAACACTATACAAGTTTATCAAAGTTTTTATAACCAAGAAATTTTGCAAGATCATCATTAACTTCATTAACTTAATATGTGCTGACATTTAAAATAATATTTAATATGTATGATTGGAATAGTTTCTCGAGTAAGTTGTTTAGTTTTAGGATCTATTTTTAAATTAAATAAATAATTAGTAATTAGAAATAATATAAATAATTTAGCCTAATCAAAAGATTAATTGAAAGGATAGTAAGACTTGAAAACAAATTCAGCGAATTTGAGATACAGAAAA